GAATTCCTGTTACTCATAAATGTTCCTCTACCAGGAAAATATGATTCACTAAATCATATATTTCCCGAATACTCATGCAATTTTCCATATATTTATTATGCAACCACCCAAAAGTAAACCCAACAGACAGTAAAATGAAGAAAAAAGTAAGTTAATGAAAAATAAGAACGTGGTAGAATACGTCCCCTGCACGATACTTTCAACTGTACTGTACTGTACTTTCATATTATATAGGCATACCTTTTGTACAGTTGGAGTGGAATGGAAGATAAATTCTTTACGTATAGTAAAGGGTTGAACTTACTATTAGTGGCTATAAGAGTCCATTAACATGGCAAAAATTTGAACATCATTAATGTTAACAGTGCATATTGGCAGACACACCTCTGGGCCCTGATGCACAAATGTCTGACGTACAGGAAGTCTAACACGATAGCTCACTTAGCTCAAAATCTTAAGTGAGGGTTAAGCAAAAACTTAAGTTCGCATGCTGAAACCGAACTTACGATTATTGTAGCCAAGACTGTATGAAGAGCTGATACAGTCGACCCTCGTTAATTCGGACCCCTTTAATCCGGATTTCAGATAATTCGGACAAAATCTGAACGAACTTTTTTTTTTTTTTTTTTAGGAATATTACCTACGCGGACCTTAAGCTAAAATGCTGGTCCACCCACTGCTGGGATAAAACACCAGCATCTTTTTGGTTAAATGTAACATCTCCACCACTAGTGTGGTGGGGGGATGCAACTTTTAGCTTCAGAAATGAAATATATTTACCATTTACTGCCAGTAAACAATGGAAACGAAAAATATGTACCAATTAGTAATGAAAAGTTGTGCAGTTCCTTCAGCAAATGAAGCTCACCAACTTAGAAAAGGCTAAATTACCTTACAACGTGTTTTCAGTAGTCTATGTTGAAGTTCTTAGCATAGGCTAACTTATCATATCATATACGGTATCACAGTACTCATTGATCTACAAAAAATACCTAGTAATAAAAACCTTTTCGATATTTCACACGTAATATAATACCCGGTAATCTACTTCAACCTCCTATTGTTTACAATGACGCATGACGCACCACCAGCTGTTGAGTATCAATCAGCTAGACGGTACACGTGTTTTTAGAATCGTTTTCAGTTAAAAAACTGTTACATCACACGTATATTTTACCTAAACTGCGCCTGAATGATTATATTCTCGGAAATAAATAGTAGTTTTGCTGAAACGTGATGTATTTCAATGTAAAATAGGATAAAATACATGACGAAAGCAAAAGACTTTACCTAAGCTTTCGATGTTCTTGAGATGTTATTCGTTTTTTTACTAGTTTTCGGTTAAGATACTGTTATATTACAATGATATTCTATTCATAGTGTGCTTGATATAATACATTCACGGAAATGTAATATTTTTGCTGAAATTACATAGGTATTACAGTGGAAAGTGCGATAAAATCGTGACGAAAACAATGACTTTCGCTTTCGTTCATTCAAAAGATGTTACCGTAATCGCTTTTCGATTGGTTTTCAGTTAAAAAACGTTGTATTACAATAATATTCTATCCTAATTGACTTGAATAAATACTACTATACCATATTTCTGAATATTTTCATTAAAATCCATCCAAATCATTTTCCTTGTCATTGTCTGCAGCACCAAACAGCTTCTCCCAGTCCTCTCCTTGAACAGGGCTAGAGGGTACGTGTTTTTCGAATCGTTTTCAGTTAAAAAACTGTTACATCACACGTATATTTTACCTAAACTGCGCCTGAATGAATATATTCTCGGAAATAAATAGTAGATCTGCTGAAAAGTGATGTATTTCAATGTTAAATAGGATAAAATGCATGACAAAAACAAAAGACTTTACCTAAGCTTTCGATGTTCTTGAGATGCTATTCGTTTTTTTACTAGTTTTCGGTTAAAATACTGTTATATTACAATGATATTCTATTCATACTGTGCTTGATATAATACATTCACGGAAATGTAATATTTTTGCTGAAATTACTTACATATTACAGTGGAAAGTGGGATAAAATCGTGACGAAAACAATGACTTTGAAATATAATGCGATATTAACCCCTAAATCGGTTAATTCGGACAATCGGCTAAAACGGACACCCTCCCACCCTATTCGTCCGAATTAACGAGGGTCGACTGTACTATTGTGGTGGTTGTGTGCAGCCATGGTGGTCTTAGTAGTTACGGGCCCCCTCAACCACCACTGCGGACTGTAGGTGTGCAGCAGAGAGTTCAGGTGCTGGTGCAGGATGAGGTGAGCACCAGAAAGCTCAGAGCTGGCGACACAGGTACACCACCCCGCACAGACATCTGGCCTCTCGAGTCCGTCTTGTCGAGCAAACCTACCCACCTGCACTGTGGAGACAAGTCCCCGCCTAGCCTGTTATGATTCATATAATTAACTGAACATAGCTGTTCTCACTTTTAGTGAAGTTTATGTGTCCTGTACTTTCCGTTTTTAACTTGTCATTTAAGTGTTTTAAATTAATAAAGTGTCCTGTACAAGAAAACCTATTTCCCGCCAGTCATTTATATCTAGTGGGAAAAATCCCACACTATGAAGCAATAGCACTACACTGGAAATGCACATGGAAAACCACATTCACCACAATGCTACAACCCAAAAATTTTAGCTGCGAATCAACAAAGTCATAACTGAAGTTTATTTATCCCTTTATTTTCCAAAATCTTTAATTACCTTCTCTGTTCTATTCTGTAATTATATTTATTATTTCTTTTCTACTTTCAATCAATCATATTCTGTTCTTTATTAATCTTTCTTTAATTATTTTTCTTACCTTCTTTCTTCGTACTGTACTTAGAGAAGGCGTGTGGTGTGTGTGAGGGGAAACCGTTACCCTCCCAACTTTGTGTAAACAAAAGAAGTTGGGGGAGGTACGAAGCTCCAATCATATAAATTTTAGTTAAAAAGAAAAACAATGAAATATGAGGGGTTTTTTTTTAGATTAAAATTTAAAATACCTTTCCAGTGTATTAAATGATCAAAATTCATAAAACACAGCATGCTACGCTAAAAGCAGTGTTGCCCAAGTGAACACAGGGCCAGTTTGCTCACTTAAGACAATTCTGGAGTGGATTTTAGTTAAGTTTCCAAGATCCCACACTCTAGTGCACTTAACTTGCATTGTGCATATCGTCTTAGCTAAGACAGATGACTTAAGTGTGCCAGCAGAGAGTTAAGTAACTTAAATATGTTAGTGCATCCAGGCCCGATCTTTTTTTTTTTTTTACTTTTTCTATATTATATATTTTCTCACCTTTCTTATCCAAAGACTTGGTTGGCTCTCTGGGCATGGGTCAACAGTATTTTACGCAATGAAAATATAAAAAAAACAACAGTTAAAATGAAACAGTGTCATTTTATGCTCTCACAACATCTGAAGACAACCGACAGTAAACAAGTTCTGCAAGTGCATGTAACCAGATGGGGTGTTGGTTTCCCTATAAAAATTAAATGGGTACACATCTTACAGACTCCCATTTGCCTAGGTAGAGTTCTGGTATTGTCCTGAGTTTTGGGATCCACTTTCTCCTCCTCAGAAGATTATTTCATTTATTTGGCACCCAAAAGGATCCCCAGGAAAGTGGAATAGTGGATAAAGTTCTAGAAGTGTCAAAGAAAGTGGCCATTGATATGAACCATATCAGTCATAAAAATTAGTGTCCCATTTTTCTGACCAATCATCAAATCCAAGTAACAGGAACACCACTTTTAATATTTAATTTGGCAAAAGCCACAAGATTTTCAGCAGAAAGGGACCCCTCATACCCATGGGGTTAAGCCTGGTACAAAAGTTACCTTGAAAATCCACACATGTAACTTTATATATCAGGATAATGGCATGAGACCATGTCTCTACCTACCCCCTCACACAATTTCAGAAAGGGAAGCTGGATATGATAACGACCAAGCTGATGCAGAAAGGAGAAACTAAACCCTTTTGGCCAGAAAAAGAAAAGACTAGTGGAGAATTTTTTTAGTAAATACTCCAACTTTGAGTTCATTTACGACATTCAGGAGAAAGCAGAACACATACATATGATCCCATCTCTTCTAATCCATGAAATGGGAATCAATTCCAACTGAGCTCTCAAAGTGGGACTAACAAATAAAAACACCAGTGGAGTAACTCCCATAAAAAGACTCCAAAATAAGAATCCCAATTCAGCGTCTATTCAGACACTATGGTCATTCTTAGACAATCTGCCTATCTTGATATGATGGAGTCGCGATAATTTGCAAAATACAAATTCATGTTCTTAAATTCGCGGGTACCTCTATTACTAAAGTGCAATTTATTTTATCAAAACTCATCGGGACCAATGACGGCTTGGATACCTGGACATGCTTACAAAAAATAAAAATAAAAATAATAATAATAATTAATTAACGTTAGGTCAAAATTCAGTTCAGCAATACTGTACCTTGACTCACTGGGAAGTGGAAAAAAAATCATTACAAAACTAGAAATAAAAAACATAATAAAAAACTATAAAATAAGAAAAATGAAGAGCATGGGTGTGTATGTGTGGGAAAAGTGAATGTGAGTGGATTTATGCTACCAAATAAACCACTCAACCTGGTCGTGCTGAGGGGTGGTGCAGCGTTGACGACCGCTCCGAGACCTGTCGTCTGTAGCACCAGTTTCGAGGTATTGCCGAATCCATCGTGCAGCGGTGTTCCTGTGGACACCAACCCGCCAGCTAATATCTGTGACGCCGAACCCTTCGTTTTGAAGGGCAATAATAGCTCCTCGTGTTCCCTCTGAGCTTTCCATGTCGTCTGGCATGTGTAGATCTCTAATGCTTCATATTGTCTCCGTTTTATACCCACGTTCACCGAGACCGAACCCTCGTGCATCATTCAGTCGACACAAAGCAACAATCCGAAAAGAGGAAACAAACACACTGATTGTCAGCCATAAGGCAACACCTAGTGGGGGGGTTATGAGGATACACTTACCAACCTTCCCGACATATCACAGTGTATACGTATCGTTTCGGAAGTCGTCGATCTCACCCTGCACTGATACTTTTTGGTGTGAGTGTACATTACCTAATTGGAGGGCAGTCAGGGCTTACCACAAAAGGGTGATTTGAATTTTCAATCAAACCATCTTTCAGATAATGAATAAAATAGGTGAAAGAATAAAATTTTCTGATAAGCGAATTTTAGGATACCAAACATTTGGATAACGAGGGATACCTGTACTGTACTGTACTGTACTGTAATTACATTTCAGAAGAGCTTGTGTCATACAGTATATGGAAAATTTCCATAAAATGGTATTATTGATATTGGTGACAATGATTTACAAAAGGCTATTAGGTATGTAAATTGAAGAAAAATCTTTTACATCTTACAGTATAGCACATGCAGTATGTCTAACCAGTGATCAGTTCAGCTACACTTGTGTCCATTGTTCCCTTCTCTCTGCAAGAGGGGGTATGATATCAATATCACTAGGACAGCCTGAACCAAACATCATGATCTAGCCAGTTTCCACTACATTTTCATATATCCCTGCATAAGTACTGTACTGTATTGTACTGTACAATATTTCCACTCATATTGTACATCCTTCCACAGATAATTTATTCTCAATGTTCTTCCCCGCATAAATACTCTTGAACAATATCCTTTCATACATATATAGTACAGATATACTGTCAAAAATAAATTCTTTCAAAGATTCATACCTTGAAAATTATCCTTACTTATCTAATCTGTAATGCTTCATTTCCCCTGTATGGACCTCCCCTTTGAGGAGATGACCACAACAGAAATGTCTCCAGTGTGCTCTGTCACTATATATGTCTTTTGTCCTCTTAGGTTTTCCTAATCCATCCGTCATAATTATCCTTCTACTCTGCAAAAACAGAAACGACAGAAGGAGAAACTATATAAAAATAAAATTGGCTCCTGAATAAAACAAAGACTCACAGAAAACATTATATACACCCAGGAGGTGAAAGTTTAAAAAAAAATACCAATAGCAAAATCTACTATGTAATATAAATAAATTGTAAACTCTGCTATGTAAAGTTATATTTACTTCATACTAAAGGACTCTTCTGTCACAAAATGTGATGTGCTGCAGTTCTGGTTGTTTTGCTGACTACTCTCTGCCTTTGTGTTCCTAACATCTATGAGCCATACAGTATATGCAACAAGATAAAAAGAGGCAAGTGAAAAAGTTAGCTGCAATACCATCCCACATAACCTATACATTAGAAAGATTGAGTGATTGAGTGTGGTGATTACATCCCTGGTGACGCACCAGCTTAGGTCATATGTCGCCGAATTAAAATTTACGCTTAAAAAACTAAAATCAAATAATGCAAGGCAAAAACAAGTAACAAATAACATAGAACTTTCGTGAAAAACATTTAAATGTTAATAGATAAAACTCAAAGCTTGTGTAGAAGATTAGCTTCCTCCACTTGGGAGAGATGCTTACTACGAAGATCTCTGAAACTGGGGCGCTCCACCAGGAGGCGTCGAAGTCATTAAAATGAATGGTGAAAATATTTTTGAAGTTAGAAGTTGGCAATTCAAAGACACTTGCAAAAGTCATGTATAAATGCCAATATGCATTTGTAAATATTTTCTTCTTAATGTACATAAATCTTTAAAAAGAAAGTTTGGTAAATTTGCACTCCAAAGTGTCCACAAGGGAAGCCAATACATAACCTATCTAGCTAAAAACAAGGGAACCAATTATGTTCTCTGTTGTCACCTGGTTAAACATTACTTGTGTATTTGTAACACATAGGTCAAAGGTTCAAATGTACATAATGGCATCAAACTTAACCTATCCAATGCAGACGTCACCCACAGTGCCACAGACATCCTAACCATCAGCTTTGTACTCCTTACATCATTCTTAATCCTAACAGAGGTAGAAGAGGGCTTAATCTTGAAGAATAATTCATTATCTTAAGCAATAAAACTCTAAATTCAAGAGAAAAGATGAAAAAATATAGAAATAAAAGAAACTATAGCTACAGGAACTACACAAACACAATGACTACTGCAATACAATAAAAACTTGGGGATTTTGCCAATCAGGTACTTCGTTCCAAATGTGACTGGTGAGATTTTGTTGGGTTTCATTTTATCAAACTTTTAAGAATATTAGATAGAACATATTCCCTAAGAATTTTCAATTATAGCATTCAGATGTACAGCTCTCTGACATAGGTTTTAATCATTTATAAATGGAAATATTGCGACTGTTTCCTCATCAAAGATACACCAGATTTCACAATGATTCAATATTGCAGCAGACACTTAAACCTAATCTGGCACTACAGTACATACAAGTGATGAAAGTAAGCAATTGGTTCACCCTATGATCAAAGGGTTTAAATGCCAGTCTTCTTCATACCTCTTCAGTAATTTGTTACCTAATTTCAGCATACCCGGTACTATTTTCCATTTTCTCAAACATAACCTGTGCACCTCAGCTTAATAAAAAGAGCCCTGCCTGTTTTTACAAGTAAAATTAATTTCCCATTCACTTTATTTCTTCCCTGCACAAGTCAAGGTACTTCTCTGCTTGTATCACAGATCCCACACCACTTATTAAGGGAACACTTGGTCAAATCCTGGCAGTGAGGGAAGAAGCGAGGCAGTTGTGGAGACTGTGGCACTAGTGGTTGTAGCAGCAGTAGTGACAGCAGGGATTCCACTTCCTGAGAGCTGGGATACTGGCCCTGGGGAATGCAGGGACCTTCCAGACACACCTGACGATTCACTCGAAATTAAAGATGCAGGCATCATTCCTTCCTGACTAAACTCTTCACTCTGGGATCCAGAGAGAAGAGACCTGGTTTCTATCGTTTCTCTCGAGAAACTAGCTCCCTGCCCTAATAAAACGGATTCCTTTTGTTCCTCCTGTGGTATACGTAGCAGAGCAGACCCTAACAGACTGCGTTGATGCTCTCCTTCTTCAACACGGTGAGTTGTTGGGTCTAGTAAGGAGGGACCTGTTATGTTGATTGAACCTGAAGGTAAATACATTCCTAATATTTTACTTAAATCATCTCCTCCAGGACCAATTTCTTCCATGCTTGGCTGAAGTTCTGGTTCTTCTTTGATAGTTTCTTCAAACATTCTAAAATCTTGCTGGAATGATGGTGAGATGAAGTGTGTCTCCCCTGCTTGCCCCATAAGGCTTGTAGTAGCAGAGAGTCCAGATGGACCAGACAACCCAGATGGCCCTGCCACAGGCTCTGGTAAAAGTACCATAGGCAAGGGATGATTCCCCGAGGTAGGTGGAGGAGACGAAGCCACACTAGCATTAGGAGAGAGTGCTTGGGGTGCAGAAGATGATGCAGCACTGAATTCTAAACCTTCCATTCGGCTTAAATCAGAAATTCCATGGCTTTTTTTAATATGCCTAACTAAGTGGTCCTTTCTTCCAAATTTCTGGGGACAGATACTACAACTGAAATCTCTCTTTCCCGTGTGAACCACAAGATGACGTTTCACATCCTTACGTGTGAAAAAACGCCTATCACATTGGTCACATTGAAATTTCTTTTCACTCGGACTTTTGACAGATCTGGACCCCACATGAACCTTAAGGTGATAAATCAGGTCAGGCTTTGTTTCAAACATTTTTTGACAAATTTTGCACTGTAAGTCTCCTTCTTCTGCAGCATGTACTGCACAATGTTTTCTATAGGACATATAAGAATTGTACTCTTTGCCACAATCAGGCCTTTCACATTTGAACTGTTTGTTAGGATCATGAATCTGAATGTGATTCTTTAAGTGGTCTTTACGATGAAAACTACGTTCACATAGAGGACACTGATGTTGCCGTTCAGTTGTATGTATTAACTGATGGCGCACTAATTTAAATCGAGATGAAAATGCTTTGAGACAAAGGTTGCAAGAAAAAGGTCTTTCACCTGTATGAGAGTATGAATGCTGTTTTAGCTTTCCAGGGCTATGAAACACTTTTTGACAAACGTTACAAGAGTAACCACTTCCACGGCCCCGGGGGCTGGATCGCGGACTTCTCCGCTGGGGTGAGAAGCTAAGCACTTCAGATTCCTCAGAGTCACTTGATGATGCAGGGGAGGTAAGTTCCTCCTTCAAACTAGATTTTGGTTTATCAGCCTGCTGCTGTTGTGAAATACTCTTAGCAGCAGATCTCTTACCTGATGTAGAGGGCGTTGCAACAAACTGACCTCCACCTCGTTTGACACCCTTTTTGCCCAGCCTACCTCGACTACTTGGAGTCTCACTTTTTGATGTCTGGGGAGTCCTTATGCAACGGTGGTTTGTCAGGCTAGCAGCACTACTGAAAACAACCTCACACCCACGACATCGAAACCTCTGACGAGTGCGAAACTGCCATGAAACACCCTCCTCTGAAAAAAAAATGCAATAAATATAATATTTATCACTATCATTTACAATATTTCAATTAAATTACAGCACTTCCTTGACACTCCCTTACTAAGGTGTAAATTAGTCAACTGATGTTAGCTGTTGGGATGATATAAAGGAACTGGAGGCAAAATCCATTTATGTAACAAGCGCTAGTCTGCAGAATCACCATAGTTCACAAATACTGTATTAAAAAGGAGAAACTGTCCTGTGCTGCAGTTTGGCACCCATTAGGAGAATCAACCAACATGAATTTGTCTCAACATTTGAGGAGTGAGACTCAAAGGACAATAACTGCACGAACATAAAGTAAAGTACGTACTGTAATACCACAGTTAAGGTTGTTGGAAAAGGAAATAAAGAGAGTTGACAACATGCCCTAGATTCTACAGCATGACTGGACAAGGGGAGTTGCCAAAGGATGTGATTGAAATGGTAAAAGAAATGCTGTTGATGCTGTTGCTCGGATAATGGTTAAAGTAGGAAGAAAACATCATCTGACAGCCCCAGGCTAGTTTGCAGTGTAAAGTAAACCTTTGCCAATCATGGCTAAAAAAAAAAACTATTGTAGTTCTATAGACACAGAACATAAATAGTTCTTTCCCTTCTCATAATCATCCTCTAGGTGACACCATTACACCAATAAATAAACACAGTAGAATCCCAGTTATCTGGTATCCAGGCAACCTGTAGATTCAACTAACCAGCACAAAAAAGAAATACACTACAGGTAAACCACCAATTTTCCGGGAACTGATGGTCCGGTACCTCCTTTAGTCAGGACATAATTACGAGAGGGAACTTAACTTCCCATCCTCCCTCCCAGCCACGGTGAAGGTAGTTTTAGGCTTAAAGTTTTTATCTTATAAATTGTCACTGACTAAACTTAGTAGAATTTAACTTGCATTGCTGGAATTCTTGTAAGATAGTGATTAATTTGAGTATAAGCATAACATAGTTTGCACAATAGATAAAATTTTAGTCCTTTAGTGTAGTAAATTTGAGTTACAAGTTTTTCAACTCGTATTTTCGGGTAAACATATGGAACTTTTTAAATTTATTTTTACTCATTTACATGCCCACACCATTCTAAATAAATATTGTGAAAAAAGGAAAAAAATAATTGTCCTAAGGGCAAACCTGTACTCAAATGTACTAAATAATTACTAAAAAGTTAATTCAGTGACATTTTATAAGCGAGTGTGTGGTGGGTAGTGGAGAGGAGGGTGGCGAGTCACTGACCCAGAGGGGGGCTCCCCTTCCCAATCTGACTGGGGTTCCCCCTTGGCTAGCATCACTAACACTTGATAGGCACTTGGGAGCCATTTCGAATGGTTATATACAATATTTATAGCAAAAACACTTACGCACGACGTACGCTGTGGAAGTTCAACAAAGATTGGGCAGAAAATGCTTGGGGACGCTGTGACGCTCCACGGGAGAGCGTAGGGCGCCAGGTTGAGAGAGGGTGGTGCGCCATACAAAGTTGTCCGTGTTGGGTGACAATGTTATAACGAATCGGTTGGGTCGTAAAACAACGTTGTCGGTATCATGGGTATCTAAAGTGTAGCAACGTTATAAGAAACAACGTTGTCTGGGTATACTTCACTATTTCCCCTCCTCCACAGCTGTCAACACCTCACCTCCCCCACCCCGGGTGAAGGTGGTTTTAGGCTTAAAGTTTTTATCTTATAAAATGTCGCTGACTAAACTTAGCAGAATATAACTTACATTACTGGAATCCTTGTAAGATAGTGAATAATTTGAGTATAAACATCATATAGTTTGTCCAAGAGATAAAATTTTTGGTCCTTTAGTGTAGTAAATTTGAGTACAGTGTGTACAGTAATATGTTGCTCAAAATTATGGCTTTTTCACATTTAATCTACATTTAACATTTGTTTAATTTAAGGTTCTAGCAGTCCATGGTGCTTTAGAGACACAAGAGGTGTATAATTTGTGGGTCAGAGGTGTATTGTTGAATTAGTATTACCTGACCTTGGTTGGGTCAGGCAAAACGGATAATTCAGCAAGGCTTTGGAACCAAGAGTGCCGGAAAATTGGTGGTGTACCTGTACCGTATATTGTGGCCTCTGAGTTGACTTTTGAAGCTCCAATTTTTTTTTTCAAAAATAGGGGTCATCTTATACAACAGGTATAAAATGTCAACCTCTAATTATGCTCCACCACTAGCATCAGATTTTTACTTTACCTTACTGGTAGGTCTTAATCAGTGGCGGGCACAGTTCCGCTAATCCGCTAACTGCTAATTAGCGAAGCTAACATTCTCGTTAGCGAATTAGCGTTTTCGCTAACTTTGGAAACCATTAGCTGGCCAATTTGCTTCCACTAAATTTAGTCCACTAACTTTAAGTCCGCTAACAAAATTTATACACGTTTGTTTCTGCCTGTTGTAAGAGTGTGACGCCGCGACGTGTGTCTCCAACAGCCAGTCAGGCACGCTTGGCTGACTGCATGTTAGTACGTGCAAAGATATCTTGAGGGCCAAGAGAGCCACCCTGTCAGATGGCAAATTTGAGAGGCTGATGTTTATGAAGGGCAACTAGCATCACGTCGAGGCGATGGAGAAGGCCCAGCCACTGCAGCCGGAGTGAATGGAATTTTTCGATTATTAAAGTTTAATGCTTTTTTTTTTACAGTAAATAAAGACTGTCAGTGTTTGTTGAAAGAATCATAGAATGTAATTGTAAACTAATGTATAATTTCATTTCTTATTTATTTGTTAATTTAATTAGGATTTTTTTGTGTCAATATATTTGGTTATGCTGAGTACTGCATAAGTTCATAACCAGGATGTCATCCAAGGTGTGTGCCAAACAAAATTTTCTAAAAACTTACTTTTCATTAAAGTTTAGAGTTTTCTGTTTATTTATGTAACTAAGACCAACAATAAGTTATATAAAAATGCACTGATATAATGTGTATGTGGTTGGTATTGCATGTTTACATGGATAATGAATAAGGCCGATAGGTTGTATGAGAATGCAAATTAATTATTTTTGAAATTGTGTACAGTGTACACCTTGATAAGTTGATCATCATCTGATCTTGGCATGATGCTATTTGCTACCTATGCTATACAGTACTATAGTTTTGGGATTCGTTTAATACTTTCTATCTTTTTGTACAGTAAATAAAGATTATAAAGTGTATGTTGAAACTTCAATGTAAATTAATGTTTAATTTCATTTGTTCATTTAATTATTTGTGTACACCTTGATCATCATCTGATCTTGGCATGCTATACCTTTTTGGAAAGCTCTATGTCTAAGCTACAAGACAACATATGAAAATTTCAGCTCTCTAGCTCTGTTTTTAAGGGTTTAAGCAAAAAAAAAAAAAAGGAAGCTAAATTCATAATAAAAGTTAGCAGTTAGCAAGATCTTTACCTGTCTGGCCTAAGTAAAACATATTACATTCCTTGCAAGGAACTTTATAAATGCAGCCAATTGTGTTGTTGGGGGAGTTCTTGATTAACAACACAATTGGCTGCATTATAAGTTCCTTGCAAATGTTATACTTAGGCCAGACAGGTAAATCTTGCAACTAGAATTAAACAACACAAATACAGTGTTAGGACAGGCCAGGAATCCAATGCTCTGTTTGTTCATTTGAGGGATAACAAGCATTGCATTGACTGGGATAATGCCTCCTCAATATTACCATGTAATTCAATTGATAGTAGGAACATCATAGAATCTAGTCTTATTAAACATACCGAAGCATTCAACATGAATTTGAGTAACGGCATGTACAAGCTGGACAATTTTGTAATTAAGAAGATTTGTGATCAGGTGAGAAGGCCGGGTCACTTGACCATCTGACCTGACCACCAACCGTTGTGTGCTATTTAAAGATTAGTAGGGTCATTACCTAATACCTGACCATTGTGGACCTGGTCTCACCCTCCTCTGTATATATACACCTTGATTTGTATTACTCTCTCTAGTCTGTACTCACCCCTGAAGATGTGAATTACACGAAAGCGCTTGGGAACTTCGTGTTTTCTTCTTTCCTTGTGGTTATCAGCATATACCTAGATCACGCGCACCTACAGTGATTTACTTGCATATATATATATATATATATATATATATATATATATATATATATATATATATATATATATATATATATATATATATATATATATATATATATATATATATATATATATATATATATATATATATATATATATATATATATATATATATATATATATATATATATATATATATATATATATATATATATATATATATATATATATATATATATATATTTATTTATTTATTTATATATTTTTTTTTTTATTTGTCGGACTTAGGACCATTCGGACTTATGACCTGGATTTGGGTCCCTAACCCCATCGTAAGTTGGGAAGCACCTGTATATATAAGACATTATCAGTCTAAATAGAGAATAATTGTTAACGACGACTTGGCTAAATGCCAAAAACTGTCACAAGTGGCAAGAGTCTGTGTGCTTGTTGCCATATACTGATAGTACATTGTATACTACCATATACAGCATACAGTACTCTCAATTTAACGGAATTCGATATAACGAACTCTCGATTTGCGGAAGGAAGTTTAACCATTATTTTTCACTCAATTTAGTGAACTAGTTCACTAAATTGAGATTTATTCCGTTAATACGCTCACATCTACAGAGACACCTCAGACACATGATATGTACAATAGACACATTAGAAACATTATTCATGGCTTACCTCAAACTAGGAGAACAGTATTTGTTTTAATTTTTTTTCTATAATTACCAAATTTTTTTCCAATTGATAGCCGCACTCTTGACTTTCTAACCCAAACCAGTTCCTTTCTGAGACTGCTGAGAGACTTTTGCATGATGTCTAAGTAGAGTAGTTAACCCTTAAGCCCCGGGTTAGGGTGTTGGTGGCAGTACACCCCACCCGGGGGTAAATCGAGAAAAATCTAAT